TGTCCAGGCTGGTCTCGAACTCCTGACCTCAGGTGATCCGCCTGCCTCGTCTTCCCAAAGTGCTGGGATTAAAGGCGTGAGCCACCGTGCCCCGCCACAATTACGCTAACTTTCTAATGGACTCTTTAAGAATTGCCGGCAACTATGGTTTACCCTTCTTTATTCAATAGCACCATTCTCCACTTACAATAGTCGCAGTATACCGAGCATTTCTTTCTTCCTTTCACTACCTGATCAAAATCATAATTTCTGAGTGTCTTCTATCAATCACTTGATGAATATGCCTGAACACTTACACAGGTGTCTTTACACACAATGAAAACCAAGATTTTCCCTTGGGTTGGATGCAGACAAGAGTTAGCTGAAACGTGGAGGTTATTTTTACATTTCTCATAAACTCTAGAAGGCTAGGGAAACATTTTCTACAGTGTTGGCAGACTGAATAATTGCTACAAAAGTATATACATGCACTTATCCCTGAAAACCATGTGTATGTCATGCTACGTGGCCAAAGGCATTTTGCAGATCTATTAAGATTATGAAACCACTTTTTATTTTATTTTTTAACTTTTATTTTAAGTTCAGGGATATAAGTGCAGATTTGTTACATAGGTAAACTTGTGTCAAGGGGGTTTGTTGTACAGATTATTTCATCACCCAGGTATTAAGTCTAGTACCCATTAATTACTTTTCCTGATCCTCTCCCTCCTCCCATTCTCCACCCTCCCAAAGGCCCCAGTGTGTATTGTTCTTCTTTACGTGTCCATGTGTTCTTATCATTTAGCTCCCACTTGTGAGAACATGTGGCATTTGGTTTTGTTCCTGTGTTACTTGGCTAAGGATAATGACCTCCAACTCCACCCATGTCCCTGCAAAGGATATTATCTCATTCTTTTTCATGGCTGCATAGTATTCCATGGTGTATATGTACCACATTTTCTTTATCCAGTCTATCATTGATGGGCATTTAGGTTGATTCCATGTCTTTATTTTTGTGAATAGTGCTGCAATGAACATATACGTGCATGTGTCTTTATAATAGAATGATTTATATTCCTTTGGGAAACCACTATTAAATTACGTAGATTATATTGAATTATCAAGGTGGGCTCAATCTAATGACATGGGCTCTTACACACAGAGGATGTTCTCCGGATAGAAGTAGAAAAGAGATACAGCAGAGGAGGAAGTTAGAAAGATTGCAAGTGTAGTAAGGATTCAACCTGCAATTGCTGACACAAGATAAATGCAAAGACTAGAGAAAGGTCTCAAGAAATTATGGTTGCTACAGACGAATGCAGTCAGAAAATAGGGCCTTTGTCTTACAAGTGCAGAAAATTGAAATATGCTAACAACCTGAATGAGTTCTAAAGGGGGTTCATCCCAGAACCTTACAATAAGAGTACAGGCTCTGAGAGTTTGGTATGGGCCTTGTGAAACCCAGAGCAGAGAAACCAGCAGAGCCAACCGGGATTTCTCACCCAGAGATGTGACATAATAAATGTATGTTGTTGTAAAATGCTAAATTTGCAGTAATTTGTTACTGCATTGAGAGACATCTACCACAACTTCCTGGAAGGACTACAGGGTTTGTTAGAGTCCAATCTTTTTAGATGGTTGCTAGACAGTGACTTCCTTGATCCTTCCTCATTTACCACTTCTATGGGGGGGTTTTGGGTTTTGGCCACTTAGTTAAGCTCATTCATCAGTGACTAGTCTCAAAGAGGTCACCAGATTAAATTATCCTGTCTTTCTCATCCAATTTTCTGTTTAAAATCTTTAGCTTCAGAGTTGTATGCCAAGAACTAGCAGATTCTGTTTCAAATCTGACTCAACTCACAAGCAAATTCAGAAAAAATTTTGGTTGGAGTGGAAGCACCCAGAACAGATAAGCAGGTACATAACGTTCACTGCCTAAGTAAACAATTACATGGAAGGAGCTGTTGTTATCAGAGAAGTTGCAAGCTGTGTGATGTGGCAAACAGAGGACATCTGCAGGGAGTTGGAGTGCTCTAAGTCAGGAGAAAGGAAGGAAGGTTATTCTGGGTTTTCTTTCCCATAGGGAGCAGGGTGCAGCCTTCATGGAAGGAAGCAGGGAAGAGCTGGACAGCAGGTAAGGATCCAGATTTGGGCACAAGGACTCACAGGGGCTGACTCAAGGAAAGAACAGTGTAATTTGGGAAGTGCTGGATCTGGTCCCATGTGCCAGCACCTGGGCAAAATCAGCTCCCAAAGAACTCTAGAGCTAGGGGTGGATGGGCCCTATGAAATGAGGCCCACAGGCAGTCCCCAAAAGGTATTCAATTCTCGTTTTCTCCATTATTTATTACATCTGGATTTAGTACATTGACCCCAGGTTCCTTGTTTTCATTGCCCAGAGACACAGTGCAGTATGAGAAGAGAAACGAATTAAGAGACACAAGTCAGCTTAGTCAAGGAGGAGAGGGAACAATGTGGATTCTAGACTGATTCAGAATAGGGGTGTAGTCCCAGTATTATCACTTACAAGTCAGGGAAACTCAGGAAAACTGCAGAGTTCTATGAGCCTCTTCATCTGTGAAGCTGGTTTGATAAACAGTCCTCTTGCTCCCTGGCTCACTTATTTGGCATCTCAGTATACCCTACTGTAAAGTAGGAATGTTGGGCCAGGCGCGGTGGCTCACACCTGTAATCCTAGCACTTTGGGAGGCTGAGGCGGGCGGACCACGAGGTCAGGAGATCGAGACCATCCTGGCTAACACGGTGAAACCCCGTCTCTACTAAAAACACACACCCAAAAAAAAAAACGAAAAGAAAAAGAAAAAAATTACCGGGTGGTGGGTGCAAGGCTCACTTGTAGCCCCAGCTACTCCAGGAGGGCCGAGGCTGAGAATGCATGAACCCAGGAAGCCAGAGCTTGCCCAGTGAGCCGAAATCGGCCACTGCACCTCAGCCTGGGTGACAGAGTGAGACTCTATCCAAAAAAAAAAAAAAAAAAAAAAAAAAAAAAAAAAAAAGTTGGAATGTATCTACCTTATGCAAGGCATCTGGCGCATTACTTTATATTGGGTTTTAATAAATTACAGTTATTATTATATTTATATTGACCCCCAAATCTACCAATTTTCCCTCTTTTTGTTTGCTTTGCTTTGTTTTATCCAGGAATTGTCAGATAATTTGCAGCCCACTAGCATACAACACAACAAATCAGCCAAAATGTTGCTTAAACTAAGTTATGCGCTATACAACTTTTTTGAGGACATGTTATTTATTGTTGGTATGGAGGAGTCTTATCCAGTTTGATGCAACTCAGAGCTCTTAGAAATTGTGTCAAGGTCTACCTCAGTCCCTCCCTTCCAACTGTCCTTTGCTCCAAACCACATGTATTTGCAATTATTTCACCCCAAAAAAATCTAGTTTTAGCTTATAGTTTGCCAAATTATATACAAGATAACCTAGTTGAAATGCCCATTTAATGGATGGGCCGTCCCTCTCCCAAATCACTGCAGATTGCCAGCACAGTGGCTTCTGAGCTTCTTATATGAGTATCACCATTATTCCTGAGATACTCCCTTGTGGTAATAGGTGTAAATCACATTTTCGTGCACCTTGTTAAATCATCTTTTTGTGCACTGCGTTCACCCACACTGAGGTAAGCATATAGGACGTCTTCCAATTGTGCACTAGGTGGAGATTTCTCTCTGGTTTATTTGTGACCTAAAGGTGACTACTAAAAGCAATTTTCCATTCCAGCCTTCTCAAGTCTGAGACACAGCATCTGAGGTGTTGGCCTCTGCCCACCACTCCCAGAGGTTCATCTGACCCACAACTCAGCTTAATTTAAAATTATGTCACATTGAAGGACTTGCAGTTTCCCAACCCCAACCCTTTGCCAGAGGGCATTTACACGCAGCTGCTCATCTGAAACCCCAAAGTCCTCACACCTTCTTTTGACTTCTCCTTTTGGTTAGATTGTCTTACTGCTATGGATGGAATTACTGTGCCCTCCCAAAATTCACATGTTGAACCCTAAATCCCCAGTGTGATGGTATTTGGAGGTGGGGCCTTGGGGAGGTAATTAGGTTATGAGGGTGGAACCTTCATGAATTGAATTAGTGCTTTTATAAGGGGATGAAGAGACCACAGCTTTCTCTACCATGTGAGGATACAAGGAGAAGATTGTTAAGCATTGAGAGAGTCTTTACCGAGAACCTGACCTGGAAACTCGATCTCAGACTTCCAACTACCAGAACTATGGGAAATAAATGTTTGATCTTTAAGCCACCCAATCTATAATTTGTGATAGCAATCTGAACTAAGCCATTCACCGTCTTTCTTTCATGTTAGCTACTCCAAGGCTTTTCATTTCTATGGGTATAGATGATTCTTGTTTACCTTAGCATTGCAAGTACTAACACAAGCCATCCAGAGTAGATGCTCAGTTATTATTTGGGGGAAAAAATAAACCCCTGAGAAAGAGGTCTAATTTATTATGATTTAATTTATCCTACATTCTTGAATAAACTAAATATATCCAGGTATGTATATACAAATGGTTTTACAAAAAACAAAACAAAACAAAACAAAAAGACTAAAAGTGATAACTGAAACCAACAATTTACAGTCTTTTATTTTTTCTCCACTTTTGATTCCAACTATTACAATTCTGTGTCCTTTCACATTTCCAAAAAAAAAAACAAAAACCAAATTTACTGTCATAATATCTTGTTTCAAACAAGTAAAATGGAATGTTTGTAATTTGTTTCACAAAATAATAAAACTCTTACTCTTACATTCACAGCAATGTTTAAGTAATGTCATTCATAAACTTAGTTTCTAAAGTTACTCAAACCTTCTGATAATAGGAACAATATTTTGAAAAAACTATCCAGGAACTTATTACAGAACAAGAAAACAAACATGTTATACACTGTGTTGCCTCCAATCCCACCCTGACCTTCTACAGCTTAGAATGTGGACTTTTCCTTTCAACCACAAGGCAAAGAATGCCTTGAGTTCTACTAGGGGTGGGAGAATCTGCTAAGTATGGCCTGGGAACGTGCATTGGCCACAGCCTTAATGCGAGCCCTTGCTGCAAGTCTGGCTTGAGCTCGCTCTTCCTCATCTTTCAAAGCCTCTTCATACCAGGTTGGGAAGGCACTAGGGACAGTATCGTGGATCTTCGCTAAAAACTCTAGGACTTTCATCTTGGTGGTTTCTACATGAGCTCGTGGACCCCATAGAAACTGATAGCGTGGAGGATCACTGTTGGGCACTTGCTGATACTGCAGGTAATTTTCTCTCACAAAATCTTGAGTGATGATCTTCTTGGGCTCCCCAAAAATGAAGTGCTTCCTCCCCTCATATAACCCCATCACATTCAATACTTGCCAGATTTGTTCCTCAGTGGCACAATTACCATTTGTGAAGATCACACCCAGGATAGTCATCAGCAGGCCCGTCCGGGGCACACGTCTGTCATCACTCAACTTTGCATCATAGGTTGGTACCAGTTTGTTGATGAGGAAATAGATGTGCCTATCTGGATCCACTTCCTTCAAGTCAAGTCCAAAGATCATCTCCAGGTGATCTGAAACTTTCCGTAGGATCTCACTGAAGTATCTCCTGGGAATTTGGACTATATCCCTCAGCATAGCTGCCTTTATAATAAGCTCTTTCATTTGATACTTGTACAGAAGGTAATGCACCAAAATAAACACCTTCTCATCTACAGGGCTTCTGGTCATGTGCTCATTGGCAGCCAGGGCCTGTGAGGATCTTGGCCTTTCCTCCGTTTGGTTGTTGATGCTTTCATTAGATCTTAAATATGAAACAGCTGCAGCAGTAGTAGTGGTGGATGTGGCTCTCTGAGGCCCGTGGGGATTGCTGGTTGTCTTGGGAGCAGTTGAGCTCTGGATGGCACTACTGAAATGAGCAGAGGAAGAGGAGGAAAATTCTATTCCCACTCTTGCAGTGGCTTGAGCATCCATCAGAGGCTCTGGCTCTTCTTGAGCCTGACGGCGTTTCTCACGGGCACGAAGCTTACTCTTTTGACCCCGAGGCATGATGACTTTAGACACAGTAGACACAAGTGAGCTCTGTGACCTAGAGGAAAGAGGATGAGATGGTTGGGTCACTTCAACTGGGAGACACCTCCGTGACTTTATTGAAGGCCGCCTCAGCAGTTTTCCTTGAAGTCACTGCTCTAGGAATCCCATAATGCTCCTATTCCCTGATCTACTTGTTCCCTAGGAACCCTGTGGAATTAACTAAGGTATGACTTAGGTTGTCACTACTTGCCAGATATGCCTGGGACTTCCTGGGATTTAGAGAACTGGCTCTGTTCTGGGGCAGGAGGTCTTTCTCTCAGTTCACATTAAGGATCATTATCTCACTTCTGTTATGACCTGGGGTCCCTCTGATCTACTACTTTGATGCTGACCCCTCACTTCTGTGATCCCAGAAGGTGAATTCAGGGAAACCTCATCTGACCACACCTGCCTGGAGACACAGAGACAGATGAAAGCACAGGCCAAGCTCTGTGGGACTCTCTATCCTGGGGTAATTAGTGTTCTCAGTCCTCACTTAGTGATTTCACCTTTGCTTTTGCTAAGGCCTGGGACTCCTCCCTCTGCTGACCTTAGAGTGATCTCCCCTGGGCAAAGCCTTCATATCCTTGAAAGCCCTAATGAGAATATTTGGCAGACCACAGCCTAATAAACCTGCTCCAGGTTCACTCAGGTGTGAAGGTCTGAATAGGGCTCTGTGACCCCCTACTGTTCCGGGGTGGGTAGTCCTTTCAGTCCTTACTTAGTGTCCACACACAGACTTCTAGAAGACTATGGGTCTCTTCCCTCTAATGCCACCAAACTGCCCCTCTCAGACTAAAGACCTCATCTCCCTGATCACCCTCCCACCTAGCCCCTCACAAGTATAATGTGAGGGAGGGCCTTTCCCAAAGCCTCTCTGGGCTGACAGCAGGGGTGGGGCTTTGTGAAGTTCCCTTTGTTAGGGGTGGGTGGTTCCCTGAGACCTCACTCAATATTCTCACTTTAACCCCTAACAGGGTCTGGGAATCATCCTGCTACTGACTGGACATCACTCTGCTCCCATTCCAAGGCATTCACTTCCCTGAGACACCAGAGGCAGAAGTCAGGGTTCCTTGCATCAATCCACCTTCATTCACCTTAGCTTTTCAGGACTGAGAGTATGGCGAGGGCTCTGTGAGACCCCTCTGTGCTCAGGGCTTCGGAGGTCCGCTCAGACCTCATTCAGGGTCTTCCCCTTCACTCCTATTAGAGCCTGGGAACTCGCCCTCTGCTGGTCTGAAGCCCGCATCCTGGTCCAATACCCTCACTGGCTCAGTCTCCTCGGGGGCGGGGGGGTGGGCATTTAGAAGGTACTCAGAGGTCGCTACATCCCACGATTCCTGACTTTGCTCTATCAGAGCTGAAAGCAGGGGAATAACTCTCTGGGAGCCCCTGTAGTCTGGGGTGGGTGGTCCCCTCACACCTAACACCGGGTCTTTACCTTAATTCTAGGCAGGGCTCAAAGCTCCTCCCTCGACTGACATGAGTGATGCTACCCGCCCTCACCCCAACACTTCCCTCAAACACCGCAGGAGAAAGTCCGTGTGCCTCAGGTCCTTCCGCCCCCATCTGAGGCCTTCCCAAGGTTGACCGCAAGGGCTGGACTCTGCAAAGACCCTCTATTCTGAAAACCGGGCGAAAGAGGGGGAATCCCCTTATTCCTGTTCTTTCAGGGTCTTTGCCTTTACTCCTGCTAGGGCCTGGGAACTCTCCCTCTGCTGGTCTGAAGCCCACCCTCTAGTCCAATACCCTCACTCGCCCAGTCTTCCCAGTCCGATACCCTCACCCGCCCAGTCTCCTCAGTCACACACTCTCACCCGCCCAGTCTCCTCAATCCGATACCCTCACCCGCCCAGTCTCCTCAGTCAGACACCCTCACTCGCCCAGTCTCCTCAGTCAGACACCCTCACCCGCCCAGTCTCCTCAGTCAGACACCCTCACCCAACCAGTCTCCTCAGTCCGATACCCTCACCCGCCCAGTCTCCTCAGTCCGATACCCTCACCCGCCCAGTCTCCTCAGTCAGACACCCTCACCTGTCCAGTCTCCTCAGTCCGACATCCTCACCCGCCCAGTCTCCTCAGTCCGATACCCTCACCCCCCCAGTCTCCTCAATCAGACACCCTCATCCGCCCAGTCTCCTCAGTCCGATACCCTCACCCGCCCAGTCTACTCAGGTAGAAAAGCTCACGCGTCCAGTCTCCTCAGTCCGACAGCCTCACCCGCCCAGTCTCCTCAGTCAGACAGCATGACCTGCCCAGTCTCCTCAGTCCGATACCCTCACCCGCCCAGTCTCCTCAGTCAGACACCCTCACCCGCCCAGTCTCCTCAGTAAGACACGCTCTCCCGTCCAGTCTCCTCAGTCCAACATCCTCACCCGCCCAGTCTCCTCAGTCAGACAGCCTCAAACGCCCAGTCTCCTCAGTCAGACACCCTCACCTGCCCAGTCTCCTCAGTCCGATACCCTCACCCGCCCAGTCTCCACAGTCAGACACCCTCACCCGCGCAGTCTCCTCAGTCCGATACCCTCACGCGTCCAGTCTCCTCAGTCCGATACCCTCACGCGTCCAGTCTCCTCAGTCCGATACCCTCACGCGTCCAGTCTCCTCAGTCCGATACCCTCACCAGCCCAGTCTCCTCAGTCCCATACCCGCACCTGCCCAGTCTCCTCAGTCCCATACCCTCACCCGCCCAGTCTCCTCAGTCCAATACCATCACCCGCCCAGTCTCCTCAGTCAGACCCTCTCACCCGCCCAGTCTCCTCAGTCCGATACCCTCGCCCGCTCAGTCTCCTCAGTCTGACATCCTCACCCGCCCAGTCTCCTCAGTCCCATACCCTAACCCGTCCAGTCGTCTCCTCAGTCCGATACCCTCACCCGCCCAGTCTCCTCAGTCCCATACCCTCACCCGCCCAGTCTCCTCAGTCAGACACCCTCACCCGCCCAGTCTCCTCAGTCCGATACCCTCACCCGCCCAGTCTCCTCAGTCCGATACCCTCACCCGCCCAGTCTCCTCAGTCAAACACCCTCAACTGTCCAGTCTCCTCAGTCCGACATCCTCACCCGCCCAGTCTCCTCAGTCAGACACCCTCACCCGCCCAGTCTCCTCAGTTCGATACCCTCACCCCCCCAGTCTCCTCAGTCAGACACCCTCATCCGCCCAGTCTCCTCAGCCCGATACCCTCACCCGCCCAGTCTACTCAGGTAGAAACGCTCACGCGTCTAGTCTCCTCAGTCCGACAGCCTCACCCGCCCAGTCTCCTCAGTCAGACAGCATGACCTGCCCAGTCTCCTCAGTCCGATACCCTCACCCGCCCTGTCTCCTCAGTCAGACGCGCTCTCCCGTCCAGTCTCCTCAGTCCGACATCCTCACCCGCCCAGTCTCCTCAGTCAGACACCCTCACCCGCCCAGTCTCCTCAGTCCGATACCGTCACCCGTCCAGTCTACTCAGTCCGATGTCCTCACCCGTCCAGTCTCCTCAGTCAGACACCCTCACGCGTCCAGTCTCCTCAGTCCGACACCCTCAAGCGTCCAGTATCCTCAGTCCGATACCCTCACCAGTCCAGTCTCCTCAGTCCCATACCCTCACCTGCTCAGTCTCCTCAGTCCCATACCCTCACCCGCCCAGTCTCCTCAGTCCAATACCCTCACCCGCCCAGTCTCCTCAGTCAGATCCTCTCACCCGCCCAGTCTCCTCAGTCCGATACCCTCA